TATGTATGTATGTATGTAATGTAATGTAATGTAATGTAATGTAATGCGTGTAATGTAATGTAATGTAATGTAATGTAATGTAATGTAATGTAATGTAATGTAAGTAAGTATGTATGTATGTATGTATGTATGTATGTATGTATGTATGTATGTATGTATGTATGTATGTATGTATGTATGTATGTATGTATGTATGTATGTATGTATGTAATGTATGTATGTATGTATGTATGTATGTATGTATGTATGTATGTATGTATGTATGTATGTATGTATGTATGTATGTATGTATGTATGTATGTATGTATGTATGTATGTATGTATGTAATGTGTGTATGTATGTAATGTAATGTATGTATGTATGTATGTATGTATGTATGTATGTATGTAATTAATGTAATGTATGTATGTAATGTAATGTATGTATGTATGTATGTATGTATGTAATGTATGTATGTATGTATGTATGTAATGTATGTATGTATGTATGTATGTATGTATGTATGTATGTATGTATGTAATGTAATGTATGTATGTATGTATGTATGTATGTATGTATGTATGTATGTATGTATGTATGTATGTATGTATGTAATGCATGTATGTGTCCGGTGTCGCCAGCGCTTAACTTTTCGTGGTTTACTCGCAACATCCTCAGCATCACCTGCGACAGGCAAGAGAAAATGAGCCACCCCACGCAGCAGCATCCTCGGCATCACCTGCACTCACCAGGCTCATTTTTTGAACAGCTGGCAAGAGAAAATGAGCGCGGCAACATCCTCGGCATCACCTGCAACACCCTCAACCTCACCAGGCTCATTTTTCGATCAGCTGGCAAGAAAAAAGCAGCCACCCCAGCAGCGCGGCAACACCCTCGGCATCACCTGCAACACCCTCAGCATCACCAGGCTCTTTTTTCGAACAGCCCCAGCGGCAACATCCTCAGCATCCCTGCAAAATGAGCCACCCCAGCTGTTAGGTGTTTTTGTTTTTTTTGAGGGTGTTGCAGGTGATGCCGAGGATGTTGCCGCGCTGCTGGGGTGGCTCAGCTGTCAAAAATGAGCCTGGTGAGGCTGAGGGTGATGTTAGGAAAAAGAGATGATGACAGTTATGAGATGGTGATGATCATGATCATGATGATGATAACTATTATCATAGCACCCTTAGCATTGCCAGTGATGATGACATGCGCGGTGACGATAACTAACATCATAGCATCCTTTCAATGATGATGACAACTATCATCATAGAGTGATGATGACATTCATGATGATTATAACTATCATTTTAGAACTATTTAGGTTATGAATATAGAAAGAAATAGAAGAAAATAAAGGTGATGATGATGATGACGCTAGCGATGAGATGATGATGACCATCATGATGGTGACAACTATCATCATCGCACCCATTGCATTACCATCATGATGATGGTAGCTCTCATCATAGCATCCTTAGCATTACCAGTGTTGATGACCATCAGCATGATAGTAACTATCATCATAGCATCTTTTGCATTACCATCATGATGATGATGGCTATCATCATAGCATCCGTGTGATGACTTTCTTAATGATGATATCTGCCATCATAGTTTCCCTAGCATTACCATCAACGTCTAACGCCAGTTCTGGAACGTATATTACAAATAAGAAAAGCAAGAGATGATGATCATGCTGCTAGTGTTGGGATGATGAGGATCATGTTGATGATACGTCTCATCATAGCATCTCTAAGCATTTCCAGTGATGATGACATTCATGATGATGAAAACTATCATCATAGAACCATTTGCATCACCATCATGATGATAACTGTTATGATTGCACCCTTAGCATGACCATCAATGTCTAACGCCACGTCTGAAACGCAAATAAGAAATATAACAAACGGAAGAGATGATGATCCTGATGCTAGTGATGAGATGATGATGACATCGTGATGCTGGCAACTATCATCGTAGCATCCTTCATGATCATAGCATCCTTTGCATTACCAGTGAGGACGACCATCATGATGATGATAACTATCACCATAGCTTCCTTAGCATGACCAGCATGACGATGACAACTACCAACATAGCATCCTCAGCAGTATTCTCAGTGCCTAACACCCGTTCTGCAAAGTATATTTAAGTAAGATGTCTAAGAAAAGAAAGAGATGATGAACATGATGGTAGTGATGAGATGATGATGACCATCATGATGATTGCAGCTATTGTTTCAGCACCCTTTGCATGACCACTAGCATTACCAGTGATGATGACCATCAGGATGATGTTAACTATCATCATAGCATTTTGCATTACCATCATGACTGTCATCATAGCATCCTTAGCTTTAGCCATTTTGATGATGATGACTGTCATCGTAGCATCTTTAGCATTGCAATCATGAAGGTGATAGCTATCACGGTAGCTATAAGAAGAAACTAGTATAAGACTATAACAAGGAGCTATATGTGGTGATGACCCTTCCCGTGCGCCTCACGCTTGCTCGCGCGTGGGCGAGGGGTCGGCAGATCAATCAGCAAACTTAGTGTCCAGGATGAAGAAGATTGAAGTGTTCGATGACCTTCCCAAACCATCAAGCATTGACATTCGCTGGCAGAGCTGGCTTGCCCAGCGCTCGCCCAGGCATGGGAGTCTCATTTCCAGAACTCAAAACCAAGGTCCAAAACAAGGGCATAAAGCAATCAGCAGACTTATGGCGTTTTTGTTTTGCGGTTTCTTTCCAAGGTCAGCGGGGCCGGAATTTTAATGTTTTGTTTTTGCACTTCCATCCATAACCAAACGAATAGTGCCAAATGTTCTTTCCAGGTCCTCAATTTTTGTAATTCGTTTACATTCCTTTCTATTCCTTTTCATTGCTTGTCCAAGGCCAGCCCGGGCAGACAAAGTGCTCATTTCCCAATTCCCAGTCAGTGCGAAGAGTTTCGAAGCGTTCTCCTTTCCATTTTCTGAGTTTCCGTGTGCTTTTCAATTCCTTTCCATGCCCTTTTCGGCTCACTTTTTTACATTTCCAGCAGACGGAGAATTCCGCGCGCTCTGCGGTGTTTCCGGTTTGGCCCGGCGCTCAACGCGACTCCTGCGGGCCGGGCCGACCCTCCCCCCCCGGGCGCTCCCCGCTGGGTCCTGGGACCCCGGGAGCCGCGCGGCGAGGAGCTCCGAGGCGACCGGGAGTTTATGCTGGCGGCGGTGGCGCAGAGCAGCCTCGCGCTGGCGGACGCCTCACAGGAGCCGCCGGGGCCGTCGTCCGGGAGGGCACGGCGCGGGTGA